GTGTGTCAGTGTCCTCATCAGTAAAAGGAGTGACAAAGAGAGTAGATTCCTCCCAGGTTGTTGTGAAAATTAAACAAGTTAATATATGTGAAGGACTTGGGGGGGGAATAAACAACAAGTAGTAACTAAAAAAAATAACTACTATTATTATTCTGTCTATATTCAAGAAAGTAACATAATGAAGTATTACTTGCACCACCTTTCCCCAGAGCAGGTGCAGGAAGGAGTACCTGGAAGATGGTTTCATCTTGAGCAGAAAGGGCAGAACCCCCTTGCCTGTCTCAGAAATGCCGAGTTTTCTACCATCACCTGAGGGTCCCAGGATGAAACTGTGTGTGCAGAAGACAGATCTGAGGGTTAGCCAGCCTCTCTAGTGCTACCTACCCAGGTGTGGCTCCCTTCAGTTAGTATGGAGAGCTGAGGCCTTACCTGAGACATGAGCACAAATGCTCGCCCAACTGATGGGGTTGGTTCCAGCCTGATCCCTGCAGGGAGTCTGTCTAAGACGGTGGTTTGCACAGTGTGCCACGGGGGCCCGCTTGGAAGAACGCGTGATGAGATAGAGCAACTGGGGCTCAGGCACCAGCCCAGGAGTCAGCAGCACTGAATTCTTGTCTAGGTAGCGGCGGGTGAGGCCCTTACCTCCTTCTGTAGAGCTGACTTATCTACTGAAGGATGAAAAGAACTCATTTCATGGAATTCTCCTGAGGTTCACAAGAGATAATGGGGACAACGGTAATATATAAATATAAGGAGATGGCAGTTTTGTTTTTGTTGTTTTTTTTTTTTAAAAAACAATAGTGATCTTCTTTTCTTTTTCAACTTAATTTTGTGTTTTTTTTTAAGTTCCAGGATACATGTGTAGGATGTGTAGGTTTGTTACACAGGTAATCATGTACCATGGTGGTTTGCCGCACTGATCAACCCATCACCTAGGTATTAAGCCCCACTTGCATTAATTATGTATCTTGATGCTCTTCCTCCCCTCGCCACAGCAACAGGTCCCAGTGTGTTTTGTTCCCCTCCCTGTGTTCACGTGTTCTCATTGTTCAGCTCCCACTCATAAGTGAGAACTTGCAGTGCTTGGGTTTCTGTTCCTGTGTTAGTTTGCTGATGATAATGGCTTCCGGAAATGGCAGTTTTGAGAGACTTAGGGCCGATAAGGTTAATTGGAGCCAGGTCAGGTGGAGCAGCAAATTAAAACTAGCAAGAGAAAGCCTGACAAGGAGGTGACAGGTGCACCGAAATGAGAATCAGGCAACTTGCTCCTAACAAACCATGTGGCCAGCAGCAGGCACACCCCAGGCCTCTCTTTTTTCATCCATAAAATCATATGAAATCCTGTGTCATAAGGGAGTGCTTCCATATAAGTAACACGCTCCCTCACCACCTTTATAATGCACTCTCCTTGATCCAGCACCCTCGGGGTCTCTTCTGAGACATACTCTCCTGGTTCCTCCTGCGTCCTCTGAAGGCAGGGGTTGGCCATTGGAGATGCTAATACTGAACCAAGTACCCTGGCTTAAGTGAGGGTGACAGGGTCCTACAGCAGTAGAGGGAGGTGACAGAACTTAACCATTAGAAGCAAGATGGCCTCACAACATACCAGGCAGCAAGATTAGGCTGGCCGTGGGGGAGTGTGTCCCGCAGGGATCTACACAGACGGCTAAAGAGCATGGTGCTCCTAGGAACAAGATATACAGGCATCTCCTTCAGAAGGAATTCAGCCTTGCCCACAGAGAGGTCTGGCCTCTGCCCTGGGCTTCTGCAGGTCATGTCTAAGCCCTGGAAATATCATCCCTAAGAAGAGTGTCCTTGTTTTCCTGGAGATTAGAACCACTCCAGAAAGCCCAACAATGTGATTGATGGTGGAGGCTTTGAGTCACGTGTTATCAGCTTAACCTCTGGAGGGCTGGAGACTGAGGTCAGTCACACAGGCAGT